GCTCAAAGACTAAGACCAGATAATTTATTTGAGAATTTATTAAGTTTCAAATAAGAATATTTCAAATAAGAATTTAAAAATTACAGAAAATTCAGTTTAAAATATTTAATTAATATTTATTATAAAACTGAAAATATATGTTTATAGCATATAAAGTTTATTGATTTATAGCTAAGTGAACTTAATATTTCATACAAAATTATTACAAAATAATAACAAGTTGAAGGGTATTTAGTTTTCGTTATATCTGCAAATCGTAATATTTTCTTGTTTTTCCTTTCACCAAAGCAATTTACATGCACCACATACATATGTATGTGTGTATGGGTTAACGATGTTTGTTTTAATACAAGCAAAAGTTCTGGCACATGCTGGAAATTAAAGCAACACGGCGACACCTTTAGCCAAGTGGCACTGCAGGCTGTCAAGGCAGCAGCATGCGTGCAGGCCAAGTTATAATTATTCTTGAGCTTAAGTGACGGGAAAATTTGTGTTCAGCAAAACTATTTCCAGAAGCAACAAACAAGTTTTGCCATAAACTAACTATTAATTGTTTTTGGTAAATTTAAAGTCCAAAATTGATAGCTCGAACCCCAACTACAACTGTGCGTTAATCCTCCAAGTTTTAAATAGTTTAGTTCTTTAGTGAATTCCCGTACATACATATATTTCAATCTTCATATCAGTGTCAGGTGCAGTGCTGTATAATTTGTTTGTGTGTGATGTTTGAGAACACAAAAAAACAACGCTTCGGCGGTATTGAGGGATGAGATGAGATGAGCGGAGATGATCGTAAAAAAGTAAAAACATTAGAAATATGTCAATATGTTTTGAGACTCTCTGCTCTCAGAGTTTCATTGATTTAAAATCAATTGCAGCCCTAATATATTCTATTTAATCACTAAAATAAATTAAAAATCTCATTATGTGAGGGATCGTTAGCTAAAATATCCTATTTGAATATTGTATATTAATGTGAGGAATAGAACAAAATATGTAAAGCTCTTTTACAATCTAAATGATATATTTTCTATTATTATATTGCAATAAATTTGTTTAAAGTATATATAAGTATATATATACCTTTTGTTCAAGTATATCATTTTTTTTTTAAATAAAATTTTCACTTTTTGTTTAAGATAATTTATTTTTCAGCCTGTCAAGATTTTTAGTGTTTATTAATTCAGTGTAATTCGTTGTCAAGCTTAGCTGCGAGCGTCATTTGAGCCAACTATCAACTATCAGCTGCATTTTATAATTAATCGTCTGGCACTTGGCTGGCTCAGGGCATAAAATTCATGTGACTGAATCAGCGAATCACTCCAATGCGCGATAGCAAGGATAGCAAGGACCACTGCAGCAGCGCTGCGGCAGCTGAAGCAGAAGTTGCAGCCACTACACATTTCATTTCAGCCAAGTGTGAAGTCAGATGGCAGGCAGGCAGGCTAGCAGGAGTTGTGTGTGTGTGTGTGTGTGTGTGTGGGCCTGCAGCTTGCTGCGAACAAACATTATAAATATTTAGTTATTCGCAAATCGAGCGCAATAAGAATTGTGCACTGACCCCACAATTGTTGATTATCTGCTTATTTGTGCGCAAATATAATATTATATGTTTATTATTTTCGGATAATATTTTATTTTTTATTTGCATTCGTGCTAAGCCTTTAAGCCTCATCATATACAAATACAATCGAATGCTCGTGAACTGGCTCACGGTTGCTATCAGACCCAGGAGCAAACAAATCCATAGTCGTATATAGGAAAAAATAATCGAAATTTATGTGCGCTCTGCTTTACACTCCACTGAGCGGGGCAACTGCTGCAGGTACCCGGGGCGTATACGTCATATATGTGTGTATGTATGGATATATTTACGCACCACTCATTATAGCTGCGCAGGCGGCCATAAATCAAATGCGAAAATGATTGATAAACGGTTGGTCAGACAAACTCGCTCATTCATATGCCCATCGCATCACTGAGCAGTCGTCGCCTGGACAACAAATGCTCCAAGCCACAAGCCACAATCATACGCCTCGTGCTACCAATGAAATTTGAGAATGGCAACTAAACAACAGACACTGGTTGCTTTTAAAAAGCACATTCTCGGCTAATGGCATAGAGGAATCTAAGTTGGTACTTAGATACACTCAGTATTTTTTTACTACAAATTTTGAATTCCATAAAAACAAAATTTACCTTTATACTAACTATTCGATGCAAACTCAAGCAGAAATACCTATGATAGCTTTCTTCTTTTTGGTTGCTGATTATGCTTCTCTTCTTTTGTTTTATATAGTCTATGCATATATTGTTTATCTTTCTATCTATCTCCCATGGATTGGGATGAAAATGTTCACATTATCTTCTCCAGATCTTAACATAATTTAAAATATCAATCATGACTTTTACGGAATATGGAAAAGCAAAGTGGTATAGCAATGCAAAGATATGAAAATACTAGCTTCGGTAGATTTTGTTGAGCTACATTGGCTGCCTTATCATTCCATGAAGGACCGAATATATGAAGTTATCTAGAACAAATTATTCCTTAGCTTTAATAAAATATTTGAAAAATGTTGGCAAGTTTAAAGTGTAATTAAATTTTAGCGCCGGGTAGTCTATTTTATTTTTAAGAAAAATATTTATTTTTTTTTTTTTAAGTTTTTTTGTTTTACAATGTTTCAAAGTTTAAAGTTTCAAAGTTTATTGATTTACAAAAATAATTAACTAATACCTGATTTCAAATCTTCCCTGTACATAAGTTAACATACCCCATTCAGAGACTCGTAGGGTATAAAATGAAACAGAGATGGACGGAATTTGTCCGGAGCGGCGTAAAATCGGTTTATTACTTTATTTGTTAAAAGTGCGATGAGTGTCCATTCGTTTGCTTGATGTGCCCTAGTTCAGTTGAGCACTTTCCGCTTGTTGCTGCGGTTCGATAAGAGAACCCGAGGCTGGGAGACGGCACACAGCCAGCAACCTGTAGCTTTCCCCAGTCACAATCACTGTCACAGTAAAAGTCACACTCACTGTCACAGTCAAAGTCACAGTCAGAGTGAAGCGGCAAACGTTTGGGTCATAAAATGCAATCACATATTGATCTTATTGTGCGCGTATATGACTTCGTTTGGCTTTCCTTTGAAATGTTGGTCCAATTTATTTGATTTGGAATCAGCCTTTAAAACGGACTTAAGACTCGCAGCGAAACCCGCACATCTTCTTATCTCTAAATGGCAAATGGTCCTTTATGACCGAGCATTTCCTCGAACCAACCAGTTGAAACTTAAAGCGATTTCTCTTAATTCCCTTTGTAAATAACTTAAAGGTCTGCACAAAGCAATTGCCCCTCGTAATTGCCCACTCACGCATCGGGCACTTTTTTTGCACTTGACCTCTTGCTGGCTGCGTTCTCTGTCCAATGCACGAATTAATTAGTCTATGGTAGTTTGGCTGTGAGCTAATTCAATTAGTTGAAGATGTGAAGTAAATAAGTGGAATTCATTCCATTTCATGGCTGTCTTAAGCCCAGTCAAGTGCTTCTGTGCTTGGCGACAGCTCTTAATATTCACCTGTAGCTAAATATATTAAATTACATTTAATGCCTAATTATTAACTCTGAGTAAGTTTTCAATATAATTACGGGACATGCAAGAGCTAGTTTGGACAAATATATTAAATACAATTAATGTCAGTTCTGCAATGGAAATCATTTTGAAATATGATTATGCATATGCCCTTTCAGAGCTCGATTGTATATTTAGCTAAATTAGATTAAATATTTATATTTATAGTTTAATAATATTAAAGTTTGTTCTAATAATATTTGTTGTTATTTATATTATTATTTATATATATTTTTTTAAGCTTGTTAATATATACTAAATATAATAATTTATATTTAATGTAAGTTTAATGCTATCGGAATAAGCCTTAAATAATATTTTATGGTCTATGGCATACGCTATGCTTTTTAAGAGCCAGTTTATTCCGTATATCTGCTCTACTCTTTGCACCACTTCCTCTTGAACACCCACTGATATGCATATAAATAACTAAATAAATCATTTTCCAAGTTGGAATTGCTCAGATCCTTGGTACGTTGGATGCACGAATTATACGCAATTTATTTTATTTTGCTATTAAAAATGGCTCGGAACACATGCGATTGATTGCCTGCGATCCCCTCAGTTCAGTTTTGTTTAGTTCATCACACACATTGAAGGGCCTGTGGGATGACAAATATCGCCACGTCTATCAACGAGAGTGCACTTTGAATGTGCAAGTGTATGTGCACCTGTATGTGCATGTGCATGTGCCTGGGGGCACTTCCGGGCAAACGACCGAAGTGCCAAATGATTAAATGAGAGCCCACCTCAGAGTTGAATGCCAGAGTCATGCATCGGACATCGGACATCGGACATCGGTCATCCAGAGGCGGACAGGTGCAGTGAGCCAATTCAGTGTGCGGACTGAAGTGCGCTCCGCTGATGGGGGCGTTTTGCCTGGCCACTAATGTCAGGGAGTTGTCACAGAGCTGTAAAACTTTCGCAACTGTAAACATAACAGTGACAACAGCATTAGGGGCACGACTGGGACAGCCGACGACAGGAAGTGGGTGCAGAATGCAAAACTGAGGGGCCAAACGAGCCGAACGACTGGGCAGTAGCCAAATGGACAGGAAGTCAAGCCACGGGCAGGGCCGGGCAGGGGACAGGAGAGTGGACTTCTGCTTCGTTGAGTAGTTAATGAATCACCTAATGGGAAATGGTATACCTCGGACTTCCGCTTGTGGCCGACTATGACTGGCGGCTGTTCTGCCGATCGATTTTTAATTGTTGGGGCATATTGCTCATACGCAAGGTGGTTCATGAAAATGGGAGCTTAATTTTAAGTAGCTTAAACTAAAACACTCTATCAATCAGACCTCTGATAATTGATTTTCACACACTCTAAATCCCTCTCTTCTCATTCTCTCTCTCTCCCTCTATTTTCAGCAAATAAATCACAGCACAATGATGACAAACCGAATTGCGTTCGCTGCCTTGGCGTTGATGAGCATCTGCCTGCTGGCCATCTCGCGAACCGATGCAGCCCCCATGCCCAGGTAGTTGTAGAATAACCTTAGCTGTACGCCATTTATCTTTATCGCACACGAACTAATTAATTCCTGCCACTTAAGCTGCGAATTCTGAATATTGTATAAAAATATTTGCCAAAGCCAATTATCCGAGAGTGTTTAGAGAGCACGAGATGGGTGGTAGATGGGGAGAGGCCGAGGGAGGGAGAGAGTCGGTTGAGGGGAATTCAACTTGGGCAAGGCTAGCGGCAGCATAGAGAGCATTTTTGGCATCAGCCAAGAGCTGGCAAGCTGAGAGCTGAGAGCTGAGAGCTGAGATGATGATGCTAATTTCAACAACGCATATAGAAAACTGTATATGTATATGTATGCATGTGTGTCAGCGTGTATATATGTGTGGCTGCGCGTGTCCTTTGTCAATTGCACACTTTCCTTATTTATTTTTTTTGTTATCTTGGAGTTCCCCTTTGCATTAGCATTTTTAATATGCCTCGCAGCTCGTAGAAATTTTAATTAACTAAATGTAAACTCGTGCTGATGCGACACTTTAAGCTGCAAACATTGTATTTTCGTGTTTCAAACTCTCACTAAGACGACAGCTGAAGTGCACACACCTCTTGATAAGCTTAGAGTTCTTTCAACGAGGCGACTGCTCGAATGGAAAATTACATTCATTGACATTTCTCACACTCTCTCTCCACAGAGATATAGAGAGAGGGAGATGTAAAGTGAATGCTGACATTCGATTTCCATGCAAATGCCAGATACGCAACAAATGTAAATTACAAGGCAAAGTAATTAGGGAGCCTGATGGTTTAATTACTTTGCCAGGTCGGCTGGAACAGCTTTGATTTGGCATAGCATTGCATTAATTATTTATAGAAGCATCAGGGCAGCCTAATATGAGCATTTATAGAGACTTTAATAACTCGCTTCACTGACCCCCTCCTCCCCACAAAAAACAGTCAAAGCTCGAACGGCGGCTATGGCGGCTACAACGAACTCGAGGAGGTGCCCGACGACCTCTTGATGGAGTTGATGACGCGCTTCGGTCGCACCATAATACGAGCACGCAACGATCTGGAGAAGTAAGTATCCCATATATTCCCATGTATATAGTCCTAGCACTTCCGTTGTTATTCTATTCTTATGCTGTTCTTCCTTCCTCTTTCCCCTCGTTAGCTCGAAGCGCACGGTGGACTTTGGCTTGGCGCGCGGCTACTCGGGCACCCAGGAGGCAAAGCATCGCATGGGCCTGGCCGCGGCCAATTTTCCGGGTGGTCCTGGCCGGAGGCGACGATCTGAAACCGATGCTTAAATTGGGGCAACAACTACACGATAATCACGATAATCTCTTACTTCAAGCGAATTCTACAAACACGTTACAGGAAGTTACAAAAGCAAACTACAATTTCCATTGACTTTATGCAAATGTTGAATTTTTAGTCGTGTTCCGATTCGATTCGATTAAATTTCTATACAACAAACTATATATA